AGAGAGAGAGAAAGAGAGAGAGAAAGAGAGAGAGAGACAGAGACCGAGACACACACACACACACAGAGAGAGAGGGAAAGGGAGAGAGAGAGAGACTGAGAGAAAGAGAGAGAGAGAGAGAGTTAGAGAGAGAGAGAGAGAGAGAGAGAGAGAGAGAGAGAAAGAGAAAGGGTTCCATGACATTAGGTTTTAACGACGGGTGTCGCTATGAATAAAGCATGTTGTACCACAGTACTCCAGCCACATTGATCTGTAACTGGCGCTGTGGCGTGATCCGGGGAAATAGATTGACAACAGAATATGTGTTTTAAAGTCCATCGTCTTCACATAGAATGTGTGTTTTAAAACATCTTCTTCTCGTAGAATGTGTGTTTTAAACTGACTCAAGCAATGTGATATGTTGTGCATTTGATCCTAACTAAGTTTTAACCCTATCCATACGCCCTGGGGTCATTTTGCACCCCTGGGGCTGTATTCTTCACATTTTAAAATACTTCTAGTTCGAAGGTCTCTTCGAAACTTTCAGTATATCTCAAATAATCGTTTTGACAGACTGCTATGCAAAGCGTGCGGATCGGATTAACGAGTAAATTTCCTCTTTGGAAAGTGGTTGGACAGAGTTCCCACGTCGTATGGATACGATAGTAAAACATGACGTACGGATAGGGTTAAGCCATTTAAATTGTCTTTTTATTGATATTCTAGCATTCCCGTACTCAGTATTATAAGAGCAAAAATATTCATTTGAAAAAATGTTTAAACCGTTCACAATATTACAATCAGTCAGAAATAACAACTCAAGCTACTAATACGTGTCACGAGGGGGTTAACGATGAATTATTCTTGGGTACCTCGGAGGACCCAAAACAAAAATACCACCAGCCAAAAGCACTAGTTTAGACGCTGGATCTGGGCACCGTGAGCTGTAAGACATTGATTAAGCCTGGCTGGGTGTCCCCGGCCTACAGCGGCGTTAACCAATCTAATCCGACGCTCGTTCCCTGACCAATCTACTCACTTGACCGTTGCTCTTAGCGTCCTTGGTCCTGGCCTTCCCTAACATGGTTCTCCCTTTTCCACCACAGTCAAAGATCTCACCCCCTCTCCATAATCTA